AATTTAATAAATAATAATAATCATAATCATAATAATAATAATTATTATTATTATTATTATTATTATTACTACTACTACTACTATTTCCTGAAACTTACCTTTTGACTTCCTCTCTTGGTTTCTTTGCCAGGGGTTGATAATGGGGAGGATATTCCCCGTGACCTCTTGGTAGGGATTTACCAGCGGATTCAGAGCCGAGAACTGCGCACCAATGATGATCACGTTTCTCAGGTCCAGGCAGTGGAGCGCATGATTGTAGGCAAAAAGCCGGTGAGTGGAAACTGTCTTCAGGGGTGATTGACTGTGGCTTGTGAAGAGTGCCCTCCCAAGCACTTGTTTTCTGGCTCTGCTCCCAGCATGTTCTTCCTCTCTATCCCACCCAGGTTCTCTCTCTGCCCCATAGGCGCCTGGTGTGCTGTTGCCAGCTGTATGAGGTCCCCGACCCCAACCGGCCCCAGAGGCTTGGCCTACACCAGAGGGAAGTCTTCCTCTTCAATGACCTCTTAGTGGTAAGGTCAAGGGGGGGTGAAGGAACTCAGCCCCTTTGGGTAGAGATATTGTTGGGAAAGAGCCTGTTTTATTTCAAGCACATCTTTCCATCTTCTCACGCAAGAGTTTTGAAAAGCCCAGGCAATGAAAGGCTTGGAACAAATTGGGCATTGTTGAGAAGCGAAAGGGCCTAGTATTCCTCGGAAGGCTGTTTCTACCAAATGGGGCCATTTTCTGGCTTGCCACATCCAGGTTCTCTCTGGCAATGTATTTCATCTTCCTAGCTGAGCCAGTGTCACGGGGGAGAATACTGAGAATATCTCTGCTAGAGGTAGATTGATGGAATTGATTTAATGAAAATGGACTTGGTGGTAAAGCTGCATACTGGGAAGGAAAGGGACCCTTTAGGGAGAAAAGAAAGATATAAAAATGAAATATTAAAAATTCATGCCCAATTGAAAGGCATTTGACTGGTAGTACCATTATAGTGTTGTAAAATTATTGTTTTAAAAAAGTAATTTAAAATTTAGGATTTCTCAGCTGTGTCTGAGAGAGAGAGAGATGGGAGTTTCCACCAGGCAGCAACATCCCACTTTGCTGTGAAAACTTCAAAAGGAAAAAGTGCAATGAATTAGACAGGGGTTTTGTGTGGTTTATGACTAATGTGAGAAGGAAATACTGGACTGACTAACGTGGTACTTTCTTAAAAGTGGTGCTAGAGTGGCATTATGTTCAGCCATATGGAAGGAAATCCCATTTTACTTTAGAGTTATATAAATGTGTATGGTGTTTTTTCAGTGTAACATACATAATCTGTGCTTTAGATTAGGAAGTAAGGCATAGTGGTTAACTCACTGTTGTCTCTCCTCCCTACTGATCCTCTTTTCCCTACCATCAACCCTCCGTGGCCAATGATATTTAGGTGACAAAGATTTTCCAGAAGAAGAAGATCCTTGTGACCTACAGTTTCCGTCAGAGCTTCCCGCTTGTTGAGATGCAGCTACAGCTCTTTCAGAATTCCTGTGAGTGTCCCTACCTGAATTCCCAGCAGAGAGGACTCATAGCCACGCTGTCACCCTCTCTGTGGGCTCAGGCTCCATGGTATACGACCACCTGCCCCAATTATAGTCTTTCTCCTTCTCCCCATCTTGATCCTTAAAGTCCCCTTTAGGGAAGAATTGTTGGGTCTTCAGTGCCCACTGCAACAACTGGAGAGTCATTGGATCTCCTACCTATCCCAGGCTTTCCGGTCTGGTGTTTTCCAGGCAGGCTGAGAATGCAACCCCAGGCTAGTCTGGAATTGTCCAGCTGGGGCAGGCGAGTTTATCCTCCCTCTTTCCCTGGTGTGAGCCAGCCTCTGAAGGGTCTTTGCCCTTTGCTGTTACTTATCCTTCTGTCTGTAATTAGAGCCATCCTTGGGCCTTCCCTCAGGACAAACCCGGTGCCCTGGCCCATTTCTTGATTGCCCACCTTGCTTTGCAATGGACCCATCCTCACCCAGTATCTGACTGTCTTCTACCCAGATTACCAGTATGGGATTAAGCTACTCTCAGCTGTCCCTGGTGGGGAGAGAAAAGTCCTGATCATCTTCAATGCCCCCAGTCTGCAGGATCGATTGCGCTTCACAAGTGACCTGCGGGAGTCCATCGCTGAAGTGCAAGAGATGGAGAAATACCGTGTGGAATGTGAGTGATCAAATGTTGTGGTCCAGAATGTTATTATAGGGAACGTATTTGAAAATGGCTGAGTGCTTGAAAGCTTAGAAGTGAGGGGGGAACTTTGTATAACCCTCCTGTCAACAGAAGGCAATGCCCTCATATCTGAGATAATATTTCGCAAATGTTCATGGAATTTGTTATTGTTTCCAAACGTAGCCTTTGGACTCCATCAGTGTAAATCAGAAATGGGCTCTTTCTATCACTCAAGGCTGAGAGACACCATCCTAAGAATTGTAAATAACCAGTCTGTTTCTGTCTTATCCTTCCATCACAGCGGAGCTTGAAAAGCAGAAAGGAGTAATGCGCCCCAATGCCTCTCCCTCTTCCGGGCCCAAGGACACCGTGAATGGCACCCTGACCCGGAGCAGCCTAGAGGATGCCTACACTGTGGGAGAGGGGCTGAAGAGAAGTGCCCTCAGTAGCTCCCTGCGTGACCTCTCTGATGCTGGTGAGGGACAGGGGTTCAGGACTCTAGGTTCCTTTTATGGCTCTAGGAGAAGAGACCTTGAGAAGCTCAGGGCTGGGACGAAGATCAGGAAAGAGCCAGAATTTATCCATTTATGCTGAGGAGGAATATCACCAGATTCCACGGAACAGAAATGTGTGGCAGAATGTAGCAGATGACATCATCAATGTCCTAGAGGCCTCTCTGTGCAGCTGGCCATGCTGAGTTGCGCTTCTGGCCTCCAGGTTCTGGGTTCCAGAATTTGAGCCAATATATGCATTTGACGGGACCTGCCGGGACATTTTCTAGACTGTATTACTTCAGGCTTTAGATTGAGCCTGGACAACTGTTCTGGGGAAGCCAAGAGCCACAGTGAGCAAAGCTGTGGCCCTTGGCTAAATCAACAGACTTGAGGTTTCTTGTTTGATTTTCTGGGGTTGGGGGAGGGGGATTTAGAGTGTTCTTAATGTTTAAAACTATGAAAAGCCTCTTTTATAGCTGACTATGAATATACATGTGCTACCTCAAAATGGTGTGTTACTGTGCCACCAGGTTTTGGTAGCATTTGTGGACTCCATGGGGTCCTGGCTATTGATTGGCCACCTCTGCTTTAAATGGTTGTTTACTTCAGATACTCTCTTATGAACAAGAGAAATCCCTGCAAGTAAAAAAATAGGGAGAAATTCAGACTGAACCTTTCTCCCTTGGCTTCCTAGGTTTCTACTTGCAGGAAGATTTTGCATGAGGGGAGCTTTTCAAGATGGAACACCCATCACCACCTTTAAGCTGGAGCAATGCAGCCAAGGAAAAGGTTTTAGCACTTGAATTTGTTAAAACTGGCTCTGTCACAGCTCTCTTAAAAACCCAGCTCCACTCAAACTTTAACTTAATGCCTTCCCAGAAATCAGTTTATCCCGGAAATATAATTGTGATGGCTCCCTCTGCTGGCTTAAAAAAAAAACTTTATGTCTGGTTAATGATTTCCACCATTTAATTCTCTTCCATAAAACTGACTCAAGAATAGGAAATCCCCAGGATTTTGGAATGTAAGAATTTATCAGATAGCTGGTGAATGGATGGATGGATGGATCTCTCTCTCTCTTCCAAACTTTGTGTGAGGAAGAAATGTAGGTGCACTCCGTGTCTCAGGAGGAGTGCAGTTGTTGGGGGTGGGGTGTGCAGGATCCTTGCATACCCCGACCCAAGTAATTTTACGGCAACAGAAGAGGGCCTGCTCCGTACTAAAGCGAGGTGAACAAGGGCGAGACACTCTGTTTCCCTCTTTTCTTTTGCTAACTCTGCCTTTGCTCTGTTGCTCTGCTTGGTGGGATGGGATGGGGGGACCTTTCTTCCCGCTTGCCTTCCAAGTTGGAGGGTTGGCGTAAAGGGGAAGGGGCGAAGTTCAGGTCTCGCTAATCCCTGCTCTGTTGCAGGCAAGCGGGGCCGCCGTAACAGCGTGGGATCCTTGGACAGCACAATTGAAGTAAGTGGGCTAGAGGAAAAGCAGCCCCTTAAGGGTGGAGGTGGGGGAGAGGGAAGCAGGCGGGGTCCCTCTGTCCTTCTCGCGCTTTCTGCCTTGCAGCTTCTCTCTTGTCCCTTCTGTCCACCTCCAGAGGGAGGTCAAGGAGCATGTGAGTCACTCCCTTGCTGTGGAAACCTTGATGCCCCTTCCCAGAACGTCTTACTTTTTACTTTAACCCAAAGCTCTCTGCCAGGAGGGCAGAATCCACAGCCTGCCCTGAGCAAATCTAGGGAAGTCTGGACTCTGTCGGCCTAGGGGGGTTATAGACGCCGGTTGTTTAATGCCCCGTCTTTCTCTCCCTTCTCTTTCTCTCTTCCTCTTTCTCTCTTCTGCCTTTCCACCCTCATTCCTCGTGTCCTCCAGGGGTCTATCATTAGCAGCCCACATCCCCATCAGAGGGTGCCGCCGCCACCTCCTCCAGAGGAATACAAGCCCCAGCCTCGGCCCCCCTCGAACTCGTCCTCCTTCCTGGGCTCCCTTTTTGGCAGCAAGCGCGGGAAGGGCCCTTTCCAGACACCCCCCAGCCAGGCCTCGGCGTCCTCCTCTTCAGCATCTTCGTCCCACCATCACCTGCCCCAGCACCACCCGCATCACAGCCACCCCTCCCTCCCCGATGGCCAGTCCAAGCTGCAGGCCCTCCATG